TGTGCAGGATCAGAACATTTTCAGAGTAATGTTATTCCTGTACTGAAGTCTACTTTCCATGTGGGACATGAAGAACATGAGAGCTTCTCTCTTCTGTAGTGTGCCGCCACTGTAATATAGGACTCTGTTGCCGCTGAAGTCCCGGAATTGCTACTAAATTAGCTTTGCTCATGGAGGTTAAATTCTTGGATTTGGTTTCATCATACAGTGCAGGAATTACCTGTTCTGCAAAGTGGCTACGTGCAGGGACCTTGTATCGTGGCTCCAGTGTCTTTAACATGTGTTTGAACCCAGGGTTTTCCACGACAGAATATGGTCGTAAATGCTTCGCAATGAAAGCCCCCACAGCCTGGGTTATTTTCTTCCCTTTTTCTGAGTTGGGAGGTATTATTGAGAGAGCCGCATCAATTCTTGGCTGCGCAGGGCTGGGCAGTTCAATGGCCGGTGTTGTTGTTAGCAGCTCAGGGTGGAAACGGCTAACGTGATTCCTTAAATTGGTGGTGTTCCCAATGTATTTAATCTTGCTGCGGCAGGTTTTACACACGGCATATGACATGTCCAAATCATGTCTCCCTGATTGTTGGTAAAATCCAAAACGGCTCCATATGTCTGCTTTCAGTGTCTTTGGAGGGTCTTTTATCTGTAACGCTAACTCGGAGCTTTGTTCCGCCATGACCACAAAGGCTCCAGTGCGCAGCTGCAGTTGTCACTCCATTATAACGTATGAAGCAAGGGACAAAATCAGCCGTTGCTAGGCTAAAAGATTCATGTTGCGGTTGGAAAACAAACATTATGTTATAATCGATTATAGGGCGCTTCTGCATCGACGCATAATCATTTATGTCTGTATCGCAATGCATCGATTATATGATTATTTTAAACGGCTCTACTTTCTGCTGGGGTGATGATGAGCAACCCACCACCTCAGACCCCAACCAGACGGCCAGCTCCCCCTCCAGCTCCGGTAAGCCAAGCGACAACAGAGGTGTGCTAAGGCCACTAGTTTGCCTAAATACACCAGTGCACCAATACAGTGTTAGTGCGTGTTGATGAGGTGTATTCCATGGCTGTGGTGAGCGGGCAGTGCAGGCATCGTCTGGCCTACGCCAGCTGATGCAACCACACAACCCCACTTCCCCACACCCTGTGTCTAAGTACAGTTTAAAATTGGAAATGGGCAATGGCCCTCGGGATGAAGCTGAAAGATCCTCTTGCCAAATGCCATTGAGTGTGCTCACTCCCAAGACCCTAAGTGTGTGTTTGTGTGGATTGTTGTTGTAGGAAGTGTTTAAGGTGTAAATAAAATTGGGGGCAGAATGCCACAGGGATATTGAAAAAATTCAATATTGACATGACTATTTCAAAAGGTTGTAGCTTGGACATGGTTAGAGATGAAGGTAAACTGTGAAGGAGAAAATTCTTCAGTAGGACCAAAAGTTTATGTTTATGTTGTGAGCAAATTCACTTATCTAATTAGCATATTGTCACATCACCAGGCAGCCATATTGGAATACATATTTTACATGTTTTTTTTCATCATATTTTGAAAATATGTGTTTACATATACACATACGTATAAAGCTCTTTTTATTTTTTTATTTTTGTGTTTATCTTTTATATTTAATTTTTTGGTATTGATATTGGTCTCACTCAAAAGAATTGCATTATAGTCATATCTTTCAGGGTTTCTTTAGGCTTGTACAGCTTCAGGGATGACCTTCCCTTCAATGTAATGATCATTGGATCCAATGGAAAGAATATTTTTATGATTATAAGGCACACTTTGACTTCCATATATGACACATCTGCTGCTTTTTTAGGGCTTCCTTTACATTGCCGCTACGTCTGTCACATTAGCTGTGTTTTTATCATAAATTTTACATCCACCATGTCCCAAACATGGTAAAACAAACTTCAAACCCAATGGTTGGAGATTTGTAGCACCAGCTGTCTGTTGCTGCACGCTGCAGCAGCAGCGTCAATCTTTCCAGCTGGATGTGTGAATTTATTCACTTCAAAGTCAATATTCTGCTTCATAATCAGAGTCAGTCATGACCAGATAAAGAGATCAGTCAACAAAGACCAGACCTGCCAGCAATTGTAAGTTTTATCCCTCTAATATTTGCCCTTTTGTGCTGTGCTCATCTCCTCTCTCTGACCAGGAACCTCTTGGTGGGAGGCAGTTTTCAAACCCTAAAAACTCAGAAATTTTATATATAAACACACCCTTAAGTGTTGCTCAGCCTGAGCTGTGTTGAGCTAGTTACACATCTCTATTATCTTCTGGTATAAAGTTGTAACTTCATCAGGAATCATATTTGTAGCTGTGGCTCATTAAATCAGCAATGACGCTTGTTGCAATTTGCGACTTTGACACTTAAAGAGTAGCAAACAGAATATGGAAATTGTTGATATGACTGATGATTATGGAGAAAAAAGGCTTTGTCTCGTTTTATTGAATTTAGAGTTTTAAGTGCGCAGCTGCATTTTGAAAGTTTCATAGTGATCTGGTTCTGATTTGTAACAGATTTGGTAAACCTCCATGGAGCTTTTTGTTTGCCAGAGATAAGTTTGCCCTTCTCGGGTAAAATGGTTTAAGCACTTCAGGGGTTTTTCAATTGAATTGGTGAGGTGGTACTCACTCCTCACCCCTGCCACATGGACCAAAGGGATAAACCATCAATCCTGCTCAACGGTCAACTTTCCTCACGGGGTCACACCCATTAGGACAGTGGGAGGGTTAATAACAATATTCGATACATCCACATCTTTGGTTATGATTACCCCCAAATTCCACTAACTCCGCTCCGGTCCGCCCCCGCCTTCCGCAGCCGCTCGCTTCCGAACTCAATTTTTACTGGTACCCGCTCTACAACGGCTCCGCTCCGGTGCGGAGACCTGAGGTGGGCAAACAAGCATGCACGGGATTTTCGAGATCTTGCGATACAGTCCGAGTAATAAACGCGGAAGTTATATCCATTGACATGAACTGTTTAATCTGCCCATCATTTGTGTTGAGAGATCAGCAGTGTTTGGATCAACAAAGTGTGACTACTTTGATAGTGGAAACTGTATTTATGGCTTACTTTTGTGCATTTAAAGTTCAGCCGCCATTGATAGTTGTTAAAAGTTGTTAAACCTGTGCATATGAAACAAAAAACGCTTTTTGTTTATCGATTTATTGTGAAAAACTGAAGTTGTGCTTGCTTCTTTTCCTGTTGGGCAGTTGTGATTCCTGTCCATTGACTGCGGAGGTGCTCCGGCGTCCGGCAAAAATAGGATCGATTCTATTTTTGCCGGACGCCGGAACAGAGGGCGGCGCACGGCGCCGCACTGCCGGAGCACGGCCGCAGTAGTGGAATTGCTCTGATTGACTACAACGGGACCGATTTTGCTCCAGAGTTCGTGCCGGAGCGGAGGTAGTAGAATTTGGGGGTAAGTCGGGCCAGCATCCCTGATTTTGTGTTTGATTATGGACATTTTGTTGAAGATAAAAACATGCAAGCCCTCCAATGAATGTTTCTGCAGATTTGTCATTAGCTTCATCAAAATGAATATTAAAGTAACCAGTTACTGTATGAGATGATTTGCAAAGGTTGTCGTGATAACAGACAGAAGCTCAATGGTTTTCTAGGAAAAGAGTGCATGACCCTGGAGACCTGTAGATTACTAATTCTAATATCTTGGGTGTACCTTTCAGTTCTAAACAAAGATACTCAAAAGAGTCATAATGACTGCACAATTGCTGTTTATAGAGGATTGAGTTTCTAAAAATAGTAGCTAGACCACCACCTCACCTGTCAAACATGTTTAGAAGTGTGAAATTTGGTGGTGTTGATTCTATGACAACTGCTGCATAGTGTCATGGTCTGCGTCAGCCCCCTCCTTTATGTGTCTCCTGATGTTTCTCCATCCTCTCTAGTTTCCCTTCTGTGTCTCATAGCGCCCTCATGTGTCCTTTGTCTGCATCTCAATATTGTGTCTTCTGTTTGTAGGCCTTTTTATCATTCCCTCAGGTCCGGTGTTCATTTAGTTATCCTCTGTCCATCCAGTTGCAGCTCCAGCCTCTTGTTCCCCAGCCCAGTATATGTGTGTGTGAGTTATTTATGTCTGTGTGTGTGTGTGCGTGCGTGCGTGCGTGCGTGTGTGTGTGTGTGTGTGTGTGTGTGTGTGTGTGTGTGTGTGTGTGTGTGTGTGTGTGTGTGTGTGTGTGTGTGTGTGTGTTAGTCCTTCCCGCAGCCTTTTAATTTGGATTTGTAGTTTTAGGTTTATCTGTCCTCCCTTGGTTCTGTTTCCCCATTTAGATAATTGTATTCACCTGCCTTCCCTCCAGCCCTCACTCCACACACCTGCTTCCTGTTCCCTTAATTACTCCTCCCTGTTATTTAAGCCCTGTCTTGTCTTTGTCTCGTGTCGGTCCATTGTGGTAATTCTGTCAGTCTTCTCGTGTTGTCTCTAGTGTTTTGATCTCCTGCTCAGCTCTTTTGGATACATTGGTTTTTTGGCTCCAGCCCATTTGGATATATTTTTGTTTCATTCATCCTAATAAAAGGATTTTACTTTATATCATCTCCTGTCTCGTGTCATCTTGGGTTCCTGCATTTTAGGTCCTACCAACACCGAAATGTGACACATAGCTACTATAATTTAACCACATTTCAGATACAAACAATCAAGCTTATGAGCAGAGATAAGATTATTTATTAAAATGACTTATTGCTAAGAGGTCTAACATTTAATAAAGCCAGCTTCATAATGATGGTGGGAGGACACTGTGAGTAACGGGCTTGATAAGGAACTGTTATCAGGTTTCTGGGAATATGTGAGCAAACAGGTACTTTTATGTCCTTTCTTGTAGATATTATAACAGGGAAAGGGAATACTAACATTTCATTAGGTCCACATTTGCCCTGGAAATATTCATGAGAGTTCACCTCATGATTCTCATTTGAAAATCTAACAATATTTTGTAGATCAATATTTTATATTTGTTTTCACAGCTTGAACCATACTACCAACGGCCATATCCCACATTCCGCTCGCTAACTGTGGTCTCCTTCAGGTAGTTTATCATTTTTTTAGCCATGCTCATTAGATTTTTGATTACAGATTTGTTCAGGTCAAATAATATTTATTTACTTTTGCAGCAACGGGTCAATCATCAATAATGCAGACCTTCGATTTGCCACGCGATATGTTCCCAATATCACAGAAATTGGAAGGGTTTTGCTTTATGCAGCACCAAACGTCACTGACTTCAACATTGATCTTAATTATATTTATGTTGATGGAATACGTGAGTAAACTTAAATTGTAATAAAAAAAATCAATATTTGATATTTTGAAATTTGCATTTATGAAACCTTTGCTAAAGTCTTGTTTCTGTTTCTTTACATTTGCAGAAGTATCAAGTGGAGTCAATCACCAGATCAGCCTCTTGACCGCAGCCTGCATGCTGTTGTTGTCATGGCTACTGTCAAGTCAGCAAGGGCATCTCTGCTGAATTCCCTTGAAAATTCTTGATTGAAAGGATGGAAAGTGTTTGTTTTCAGGTATGATAAAATAGTTTTTTTTCCAAATGGAACTTAACACCCTCTCGTGAATATAAATGTGATTATTTCACCCAAATAAAAAAGATCCATGTATTAATTAAAAAAAACTTGTTTACAAATATATCTTATATGAAAGATTATTATTTTTGTTTGAATATCAATCATGTCATTTACAACCTTAAGTTAGTTAATGAAGGAATAGGCTTTGTTTTTTGTGTCATTAGAAATTAGGGTAACACTTTACAATAAGTCTCTTTATTAACATTACTTCATTATTAAGCATCAATGAACTATTGAATAAAGTGTAAACAACTCCTTAGCCATATTATATAATGCATTACTAAGCAGACCCCCACTGTTCTTTGTCCTAACCTTAGGGACACTTAATAATTATTAATAACTGTAACATTAATAAAGGGATCCTGTTTTGTTGATGCTTATTAATGCACTAAGTAACATTAATAAAGGGACCCTTGTTGTACAGTGAGATAAAAATTTGTTACAGCTATGACAAACAATTTCTACTCTTACCTTACAATCTTCATTAGCATGTTAGAGTAATATGATTTAATTATTACTTTGAGGTGAACATGAAGTCATGACACTGCAAAAAAGTTAAGATGCTTGAAAATTACTGTATGATTTACTAATTAGTTTTTTCTTATATTCATGATATATGAAACCATCTATTCAGTAAACTGTTATGTTTTTTGTCTTTTGTATAATTATACAGTCAATTAAATAAAACATGTTTATTTAATTCAACTATTGTCTTCTGTTATCCAAATTGTATAACCATCCCAGGACACTTATCAGTGTCATGATATTGTTGTGTTTGACCCAAGTGCAGATGAAGGAGCCAGTAAACTTAAAAATGTTTAATAAAAACAATTAAAA